ACCATGCACCATGCACCATGCACCTTGCACCATGCACCATGCACCATGCATCTTCACGTTGCTTGGCTCGTCACCATCCACCCCCTCCCCCCCCGCCTTATTCCGCACGCCCACAACCCTTCCCTTTCATTTTATCGCTGGTAGCAGCCTCCCCGTCTCCTGTCTCCCCTCCGCCGCACCCCTTAACTCACCCCCCTATCCCACGTGCAGTCTGCACCAGAGCCCGTGGCTACAAGCAGTGTGTCGGCAGGCAGTGCAGGGCACAGCAGTGAGGAGGGGCAGGACTGCAAAGGAAGTTGGCAGCGCTACAGGCTGCTCTTGAGGCACCTAACAAATGCACCCCCAACCCAACCCTGCTCTTCCCCATGTCCCATGTGCAGTCTGCACCAGAGCGTGTGGCTACAAGCAGTGTGGGTGCAGGCAGTGCCGCACACAGCAGTGGGGAGGTGGCAGCGCTGCAAAGGAGGGTGGCAGAGCTACAGGCTATTGTGGACGGGAAAACACGCGAGGTGGGTGGCTGTAACGGGCGGTGCTTAGGGTGCATGGGTGATAAGGTGGAGTCTGGGGAGCAGGCAACATGATTAGTGTCCTTTCTTTCTTTCCTTCTTTTTTTATAAATTTCTCCTTCCTTCCTTCCTTCCTTCCTTTCTGTCTTTCCTTCTTTCTTTCTCTGTTGAAGGAGAGTCCAGGAGGGGCATTATTTCTTTGTTCCGTTTTTTCAATCCACGGAACTTAATCCCTCCTGAGATCTCCGTCAACACCACTCACTCTGTGTTCCCTCCGCAGCCTCATGCGTGAGGAGTCTATTTTTGAGGCGCCTAAAAAATAGACCCCTCCCCAGCCTCAGCCCCATCCCTCACCTCACCCTCCCTCACCTCACCCTCTCCGCCCTTGTTTTTTATCATGTCCCCACCCCTTACTCCCATCATCCTCCCATCATGTTTCGCCTGCACACAGCTGGCCCTGGCATCAGAATCATCGGAGGGGGATATGCAATCCGTACTGGCACAGCTGGAGGCCTGCAAGGACCAGGAGAGGAGGCACGGCGAGCACGTGCAGCAGCTACAGGAAACCCTAAAAACCTACGAGCTGTCCCAGCTGCGAGCCCAGGAGCTACAGTCTGCCAATGACGAGCTCCGGGACCAATCCGAGCGGCTTTTAGCTGAAATCCGGAGCTTAGAGGTGGTGGTGGCGGGCGTGGAGTCGTTTGACCCCCGCCGGCCGAACCACCGGGTGCGGCTGCTGCGGCACCCGTCGTTTGTGTGCTCGGTGTGCCGGGGGAGTGGGAGCGGCATTGCGTGGCGGTGTATCACTGGGCGGTGTAGTGACTCCATTCACCTCTCTTGTCTGACCTCAAGGTGATGATTGATGAAAGCAATGGGAGGAAGTGTAGTTGGAGCTGCGTGAATTATAGAATGTGGACATATGGTAGCAGACATGCAGTGTAAGGAAAGTAGCTGGGGATTAAGTCCCTTGTCTGGAAAAGGAGGCATACAGTAGTGAAAGCTAGATCTATATAGTAGTTGGTATGCGGTTTGATTTCTTTGCAAGAGATCGGCAAGAAAACAGCCTAGGTACTCACATCACAGGAGGGATTTCCGAAGTGCCCAGCAACATCCGACGACATACATAGACATCCCGGATGTCGAGGCACCGATCTGGAAACCTTCTGTAACGTTCTGGAAACTCACAAAGACGTACTGAACCTTTCTCGGATGTCGGCGGTGTCGGCAAATGTCGTCGACATCCCACTTTGGATACGCCCTAACGGTACCCGTTCACTCGATCTGCCTTGTGGTGGATCCGCATCTGGTCAGCTCCCTCGATATTGCCGCCACACATCCCCCCCCCACCCCTCACATCCCATTCATCCCATATCCCCTCCTAAGGTAAAGCCCAACTTCGCACATTGCACACCACCGCAACTCCCGCTCGTCCCCCGCTTCTTCTCCGCCATGTCGGGCGATCGCAATGCCGGCCGCCGCCTGCCCGTCGACGCGCTGGCGGGCGTGAGTCCCGCCGACATGGTGCGCCTGCTGGGACAAGCGCTGGTGCAAAGTAAGTTTCCCATTCGGTGATCGGGTGGTCGCGACGTACGGGTAGAACATATGCATTTTGAGTCGGCTTAAAGCCCGCAGTCCGGATTGTCCAGAAGTTAAAGCAGTTGAACGGGTGGGAAAATTTTGGTTGGATAGCGAACCCCCAAAAAAGTTCTCCAACCTCCGAAGCCCTAGTAAAAAGTTCGCTACACAGCTTCAAGTGTTTAACAACCCCCCCTTTTTGGACAATCAGGACTGCGGGCTTCAAAAGCAGAGTTAGTGCACTGGTCGGTGATCGGGTGGTGCAGACGTACGGGTGCGTTCGGTGTATGCGGAGCGCGCGTCAGAATCCCGCCGTCGTGGTGCGCCTGCTGGTGCAAGTTCTGGGCTAGAGTGCGTGGTCCTTATGCGTGCAGGATGGGGTAGAGTAGAGGTGTACGGGTGGGCGTTGCGAGTAGAGGATGATACGCTGCGGCGGATCGCACGTCAGAGAGTCACGCTGACGTGGCGAGACCATGGTGAGATGAGCTCCGGTGCAGAGCGGCGGGGAGATTCTCGTAGAGCGTACGTCTGTCAGAATCCGTTGAAGTGCGCCTAAGTGCGCGTATTGATCACGCCAGACGGCGTCTAGAGGTATAGTCAGTGTCTAATCAATGTCTAGAGTTCTAATCAATGTCCAGAGGTCTAATCAATGTCCAGAGGTCTAATCAATGTCTAGAGGTCTAATCAATGTCCAGAGGTCTAATCAATGTCCAGAGGTCTAATCAATGTCCAGAGGTCAATGTCCAGAGGTCTAACCAATGTCCAGAGGTCTAATCAATGTCCAGAGGTCTAATCAATGTCTAGAGGTCTAATTAATGTCCAGAGGTCTAATCAATGTCCAGAGGTCTAATCAGTGTCTAGAGGTCTAATCAATGTCCAGAGGTCTAATCAATGTCCAGAGGTCTAATCAATGTCCAGAGGTCTAATCAATGTCTAGTGATCTACTCAATGTCCAGAGGTCTGATTAATGTCTAGTGGTCTAATCAATGTCTAGAGGTCTAATCAATGTCTAGTGATCTACTCAATGTCCAGAGGTCTAATTAATGTCTAGTGGTCTAATCAATGTCTAGAGGTCTAATCAATATCCAGAGGTCTAATCAATGTCCAGAGGTCTAATCATTGTCCAGAGGTCTAATCAATGTCCAGAGGTCTAATCAATGTCCAGAGGTCTAATCAATGTCCAGAGGTCTAATCGATGTCCAGAGGTCTAATCAATGTCCAGAGGTCTAATCAATGTCCAGAGGTCTAATCAATATCCAGAGGTCTAATCAATGTCCAGAGGTCTAATTAATGTATAGTGGTCTAATCAATGTCTAGAGGTCTAATCAATGTCCAGAGGTCTAATCAATGTCCAGAGGTTTAATCAATGTCCAGAGGTCTAATCAATGTCTAGTGCTCTACCCAATGTCCAGGGGTCTAATTAATGTCTAGTGGTCTAATCAATGTCTAGAGGTCTAATCAATGTCTAGAGGTCTAATCAATGTCTTGGGGTCTAATCAATGTCCAGAGGTCTAATCAATGTCTAGAGGTCTAATCATTATCCAGAGGTCTAATCAATGTCCAGAGGTCTAATCAATGTCCAGAGGTCTAATTAATCAATGTCCAGAGGTCTAATCAATGTCCAGAGGTCTAATCAATGTCCAGAGGTCTAATCAATGTCCAGAGGTCTAATTAATGTATAGTGGTCTAATCAATGTCTAGAGGTCTAATCAATGTCCAGAGGTCTAATCAATGTCCAGAGGTCTAATTAATGTATAGTGGTCTAATCATTATCCAGAGGTCTAATCAATGTCCAGAGGTCTAATCAATGTCCAGAGGTCTAATTAATGTATAGTGGTCTAATCAATGTCTAGAGGTCTAATCAATGTCCAGAGGTCTAATCAATGTCCAGAGGTTTAATCAATGTCCAGAGGTCTAATCAATGTCTAGTGATCTACCCAATGTCCAGGGGTCTAATCAATGTCTAGTGGTCTAATCAATGTCTAGAGGTCTAATCAATGTCTAGAGGTCTAATCAATGTCTTGGGGTCTAATCAATGTCCAGAGGTCTAATCAATGTCTAGAGGTCTAATCATTATCCAGAGGTCTAATCAATGTCCAGAGGTCTAATCAATGTCCAGAGGTCTAATTAATCAATGTCCAGAGGTCTAATCAATGTCCAGAGGTCTAATCAATGTCTAGAGGTCTAATCAATGTCCAGAATTCTAATCAATGTTCAGAGGTCTAATCAATGTCTAGTGATCTACTCAATGTCCAGAGGTCTAATCAATGTCTAGAGGTCTAATCAATGTCTAGTGATCTACTCAATGTCCAGAGGTCTAATTAATGTCTAGTGGTCTAATCAATGTCTAGAGGTGGAATCAATGTCTAGAGGTCTAATCAATGTCCAGAGGTCTACTCAATGTCCAGAGGTCTAATCATTGTCCAGAGGTCTAATCAATGTCCAGAGGTCTAATCAATGTCCAGAGGTCTAATCAATGTCCAGAGGTCTAATCAATGTCCAGAGGTCTAATCAATGTCTAGTGATCTACCCAATGTCCAGAGGTCTAATTAATGTCTAGAGGTGGAATCAATGTCTAGAGGTGGACCGTGGAATCAATGTCTAGAGGTCTAATCAATGTCCAGAGGTCTACTCAATGTCCAGAGGTCTAATCATTGTCCAGAGGTCTAATCAATGTCCAGAGGTCTAATCAATGTCCAGAGGTCTAATCAATGTCCAGAGGTCTAATCAATGTCCAGAGGTCTAATCAATGTCCAGAGGTCTAATCAATGTCTAGTGGTCTAATCAATGTCTAGAGGTCTAATCAATGTCTAGTGATCTACTCAATGTCCAGAGGTCTAATTAATTAATGTCCAGAGGTCTAATCAATGTCCAGAGGTCTAATCAATGTCTAGAGGTCTAATCAATGTCCAGAATTCTAATCAATGTTCAGAGGTCTAATCAATGTCTAGTGATCTACTCAATGTCCAGAGGTCTAATCAATGTCTAGTGGTCTAATCAATGTCTAGAGGTCTAATCAATGTCCAGAGGTCTAATCAATGTTACATCTAGTGTCCTGCCAGAGTGTAGGTCTCCATAGCGCAATCACCCGTTTCGTGCACAGGTCCTCTGTCGGAGCTGTCAGGAAGACTTTTGAGTCGACTATAAAAACATCGCGCAAACACCCACTATGTGCACAGGCCTCTGTCGGAGCCTTCAGGAAGAGTGGAAAGTGTGTTGCGGACCCAGGAGGTTCGGCTTCCGGAAACCTTTCCAGTGTATCGATATCGGAAACCTCGTCGGACCAAGCATAGTCGATCTGGTGCCTGTCCCTTTCTTAAGCTTCCGGATCCAACGCAACTCAACGCGACTCAACGCGACTCAACGCGGCTCAGCGCGACTCAACGCGACTCAACGCGACTCAACGCGGCTCAGCGCGACTCAACGCGACTCTCGAACGGCCACCTTTCCTCGTTCCCTAATTACTTCTTTCCCTCCGGCTTGTCTCCCTGGCTTGTCTCCGCGGCTTGTCTCCCCCAACTCTCCCTTTCAGCCGACTCCGCTCGTCCCGGGTTTTGCTACCACGCTGTGCGGAAGGAGTTTGCAGAACTGCTCTCTTCCTCCGCCTTCCCCCCTCTCCGAGAGGCCACCCTCCCGACTCATGCTATTTCTTGCGCGAATCAACCAGCAGAGGTCACTTCCATCACCAGCAGCAGCAGCAGCAGCAGCAGCAGCAGCGGCGGCAGTGGCGGTGGCGGTGGCGGTGGCAGCAGCAGCAGTGTGGCCTACCCTGGTCCAGTGACGTACGGTATGCTGTGCGTGCTGTCCATGCTGCAGGTGCAGGGCCGGGAGGGGGGACACGTGGCGCATGGCGATACGCTGCTGCACCTGGTGCTGGCAGCGCTGGAAGGCGTCACCGCAGGGACAGGGGCAGAGGCAGCAGGTGCAACCGCCGATGCAGCAACACTTGCAGTACCAGCAGCAGCAGCACCAGCAGCACCAGCAGCAACACTTGTAGTACCAGCAGCAGCAGCACCAGCAGCACCTGCAGCACCTGCAGCACCTGCGCCAGCAGCAGCGGCTGTGGCAGCAGCAGATGGGGGTATTGCGTCCAGAGTTGTATCAGATGAGCTTATAGCGAAGCGGCTTGCCTGCGGCATGTTCTGGGGTGCCATGAGGAGTGCGCAGGAAGCAAAACGAGCAGCCAGGGGGAAGAAAGCAGACAAGGAGCCATCCTCCTCTGAGTCAGAGGGAAAGGAGCCGCAGTTGGGAAACGCACATGCTGCTGCTGCTGCTGCTGCTGCACAGGTGCGGACGCCCGAGGCTGCTCTCCTGGCCGCGCTGTTATATCACTCCCTGGTTGACGCTAGCAGCAGCGACAGCAGCAGTGGCAGTGGCGGCGGCAACAAGGGAGTGGACTCGTGGGACTTCTCTGCCCTGCGGCCGCGCGTGCTGGTGCGGCTGCTGGCAGTGGCGGATGTGTCCATACGAGACCTGGAAGACTACGTGACCTCCATGGGACTCGTGGTGCCACTAACAGAGGTGCAAGTAGAGGGAGACGCAGCGACAGGAGAGGTTCCTGCTGCTGCTGTCTCTGCTGCTGCTGCTTCTGCGGCTGCTGCAGCTGCTGCTCCCGATTCTGCTGCCTTTGCTCCTGCTCCTCCCGTAGCCCCATCCCAGCAACAGCAGGGCACCCCGCCCTCAACAACCCCAGCCCTAGAAGAGGTGATTTTTGTGTCGACTCCAAAATCTGCTCCTCCCGCAGCCCCATCCCAGCAGCAGGGCACCCCGCCCTCAACACCACCAGCCCTAGAAGAAGTCCGCGCGTACCTGCGCCTGCTCGTGTCCCGCAAAGCCTACCCAGCAGCGGTGGGCCTGATGAAACAGCTGCACATGAGCGAAGGCCGGTCAGGGGAGTTTTTACTGGATATGGTGGAGAGGGGCCAGGTGGAGCTGGCGGCTGACTGGGCCAAGTTCCTTGGTGCTGACACGTGTCGCGCTCTGATTCGCGCGTGCATGCATCGCGAGCTGTTCAAGGCAGCGTATAAGGTGGTGGTGCGGTGCGAGATGAAGGAGGAGTTTCCCGATGCAAAGACCGAGTACAGGAAGAGGTGAGAACGGGGGGGGGGGTCTGGTCGGGTCGGGGGTGTGCTTTTGAGGCGCGACTCAATCATGAGGTGGTGGTGCGGTGTGAGACGAAGGAGGATTTTCCCAATGCAACGACTGAGCACACGACGAGGTGGGAGCAGCGGGGGAGGTAGGGATCAGCGGGGGAGCATCTTCTTGCTTTCATGGCTGCTGTAGTTTTGGTCGATCTTCCCTCTTGCCATAGCGGCATTCAAATCTTCTAATCTTTCCCCTCCTCCCCGTGAAACCACCCCCTGTCACTCCCCCAGCTCTCTGCGCAAGCTAGCGGACAAGTGCATGTGGGAAGTGGCAGAGAGCCTTGTGGGGGACGAGCCCGACCTCCTGGACTACCTGGTGAGAGCCCCACGGTGCCACGGATGACGATGGGCCATGGTGCCATGGATGACGATGGGCCACGGTGTGTACCTTAAGTACCTGTTGAGATGGGCCACGCCACGGTGCGTACTTACTGCACTGCCTGCCCTGCTCGCATCTCGCTGCATGCCAAGTCACATAGCACATAGCTGCATGATGCATCTGCCTGCCCAAGGGAAACTTTTCACCCCTTTGTGCCTGCTCCCCATGTGCCTGCTCCCCCTGTGCCTGCTCCCCATATGTCTTCTCCCCTCCCCTGTCTCTTCCGCCTGTTTCTTCCCTGTGCCTCTTTCCCTCTTCTCGTTCCCCCATGTCTTTCCCCCATTGTCTTCCCCCCCTTGTCTTCCCCTTTTTGTCTTTCCCCCCATGTCTTCCCCCCGTGTGTTCCCCCTGTGTCTCCCCCCCGTGTCTCCCCCCCCGTGTCCTCCCCCCTGTCTCTTTCCCCCCTGCCCCCGCAGCTGCAACTGGCGGTGGAGTCCGGGGAGGCGGAATTCGCATCCTCCCTGTGCACCCAGCACAACGTGCCCGTGCCACCTGCTGTGCAAGGTGCGTCCTGTTTAACGCGCCTGGAATGCACATACTCCTTTCATGCTGTTCGACACCCTCCCTCTCTGCTCGCTCCCAACCCCCTCCCCACCCTCCCAGCCCCCTCCCCTACGATAGGTTTTTACGGATTCTAAAAATACTATTTCTCCCTCTCGCCGCCCCCTTCCCCTGTGATAGGTTATTGGGAATTCTCAACACCCTCACTCCCTCCCGGTCCCTTCCCATCTCGGTTCACACCAGGCGCAGCCAAGCCGACTCATAAGCAGACTTCACTATCCTCAACCCCACCCACCTCCTGCCCCCGTCCCCTTGACTCACCACTCACCAGGCGCATTGGCATCCGAGGCCCCCACACCCGTGCTCTCCCTCCCTTACCTTCTCCAGTGGGGCACCAATGGAGGGCAGGGGGGGGAGGCACAAGAGCAGGAGCGCGTGGGGAGTGCTGCTGACACAGCAGGTGCAGGTGTGATGGAGATGGGGAAGGTGGAAAATGGGGAGGAGAAGAAGCAGGAGCAGGAGGAGGAGGAGAAGAGGAGGGAGGCGATAGTGATGGTGGATAGTCTGGCGAGTATTGAGCGCATGGGGGCGGTGTTAGGCGGGGAGGGCGTGGATGCAGTGGGCTTTGACTGTGAGTGGAAGCCCAAGACGCAGAAGGGCGCCCGGGCCAACAAGGTGCGCGGGGAGACGGAGGGGTGGGGGGGGGAGAGGGTTGACAAGGGGTGTGGGGGGAGGGGAGATTGCGAGGGGAGGGGGGAAGCGGGAAGGGGAATGTTGGGGGGGATGTGCGAGGATGACGGGGAGGAGATGGGGGGCTTGAAATGCCATCAGAACTGTCACTTTTTCTCTTTTGTTCTGTCTCAATCCAGCTCCCCCTTCCCGTTGTCTTCCACCGGCTCCCTCCTGCTCTGCCTCCCTTCTTCCTTCCCCTCCCACCCTCCATTCCACCCTCCCTCCCAACCTTTCTCGCTTTATGATCTCTCCCCGTCCCTCCACACCTGACTCCCCCTTTTCCTCTCAACCATCCCACCCCCTCCGCACACACACCACCTCTGTCCCTCTCCCTCCCCCTCCCCCTCCCCCTCCCCTCCCCTCCCCTCCCCCTCTCCCTCCCTCTCCCTCTCTCTCTCTCAGGTGGCCATTCTCCAGGTGGCCACGCGCTGTCAAGCCTTCCTCATCGATCTCATCACCATCACTGCCTCTCCGCCTCTCTCCCTCGCTCTCAACTCCGTTCTCTCCCACCTCTTCACCGCTCCACACATTGTGAAACTCGGTGAGCGCTGCACTGGTCTATCCTTCTGCTGAAGGGGCGTGGGGAGTGGGTGGGGGAAGGGTGGGGGGGGGGAAGGGAAAAGGGGGTGGTTGAACAAACGGGTGGCTGTCAATGCCCTCTGCCCGGTCCTGCCGCACCTTGTTTCACAAGCCACTTCAATAATCTTCTAACGTGGCCTTCCCCGGACTCCTCCCTTTCCCTCCCGTACCATTTTTTTTTTTTTTTTTTTTTCAATAACAAAGATTCGACCCAGCCTACGGTGCAGCCAACGACCCGCGCCCGCTCGCCCGCTCACATCGCACCACTTCTAGAAAGGCCCCTCAAATCCCTACTCACCGCTGCCTCCCCCCTTTCCTCCTTTCTCCTCCCCCACTCCCCCTCCCCTTCCCCATTCCCCCCATCCCCCTCCCCTCCCCCCACCAGCCTACGGCGCCGCAAACGACCTGCGTCTGCTCGCCCGCTCCCACCGCACTGCCCTCCCCGCCGTCTCCTCCTGCCACCCCCTACTCGACCTCCAGCCCCTCGTCCCTCTCCTCTGGCCGCTAACGGGGGACGAGACCCCCAAGGGCGGGCTCAAGGGGGTGGTGCGGAGCGTGTTTGGGAAGAGGATGAGTGCGCGAGTACAGATGAGTGATTGGGAGGCGCGGCCGCTGAGTGCAGCGCAGGTGGAGTACGCGGGGCTGGATGCCATGGTGCTGCCGCATATCTACGACCGCTGTGCCCGTGTGGCTGCAGTGCATGCTGCTGAGGCGTTGGTTGCCTCTTGCAAGGTGGGTGCGGTCTTGTGTGTTGGGTGTACGCGGGGCTGGATGCCATGGTGCTGCTGCACATGGCAGGTTTTGACCGGTGTGTGTGTGTGGCTGCAGTGCATGTTGCTGGCGATGTGTTCGCCGCTTGCAAGGTGTGTGTGTTCTTGCTGTTGGGTTGGAGCATGTGTGGTTCGGTGTAAGTGGGCTCGATGCCATGGTGCTGGCGATGCCATCGCTGCTTGCAAGGTGCGTCTCTTCCTGTGATTGGGCGTGTTGAGGAAGTGGAGGTTGGGTAGGGGGGAGGAGGAGGGGGAATGAGGCTGAGGGGGGAGGATTAGTGGGAGGGTGCAGATGAGTTGGGGAATGGGGGGAAGGGGGGGGGGGTGGGGGGTGGGGAGTTTGAGGGATGGCTTTGGGGGGCGGGTGAGGGGTGAAGGGGAGGTTGGGTGGAGGTTTGGGGGGATGGGGTTTGGAGGAGGGGGAAAGGGGGGGGGGGGGAAGGGGGAAGAAAGAGAGAGGTGAGCGATTAGGGAGGAGTGGGGAATTGGTGAGGGGTGCTCAGCTGTGAAGGGCACGCACACACACTTTCCCTCCCCCTCCTCCACATTCATCCTTCCACATCAACGGCCTCATCCCCCCATCCGAAGAGGATGAGGAGGGGGAAGACTGCACCTACCTGGTGGGACTATTTTTAAGTCGCCTCAAAAGCCTATTTTTGAGGCGCCTCAAAAAAAAAAATGCGCGCCTACCTGGTGGGTCTATTTGAGACACCTCAAAAGCCATCTCGCACGCACACTCGTCGCTCCCCCTTCCACCTTTCCCTCTCCCCCACGATCTACGATCTTCCTCCTTCCACGTTGATGGCGCCATGCCATCCTCCCGTCCGAAGACAATAGCGGCGCGGGCGACCACCTACCTGGTGGCCCTCAGAAACCTTCCACTCACACACAATGCCCTTCCCATGCCCCCTCTCCCTCCCCCTCCCCCTCCCCATCCCCCTCCCTCTCCCCCTCCCCTCCCCTGCACCCTCCCCTGCACCCCCCCTCCCCTGCCCCCTCCCCCTTCCCTGCACCCTCCCCCTCCCCCTCCCCTCCCCCCTCCCCCCTCCCCTCTCCCCCCTCCCCCACAGTCGTCCTTCCACATCCACGGCGCCATCCCCGAAGTCGACGACGACGAGGGCGACCTGGCCTATCTGGTGGGGCAGGAGCGGGTGGCCGCTGCTGCTGCTGCCGCTGGGCTCGCCCCCATGCCAGGATCCTCCCTGGAAGAGATATTAGCTGCCAAGGAGAGGCAGGCCAAGGGAGAGGGGGAGAAGCGGAAGCAGGGGATGGCCTTTGAGGCGTCTACGGGGCGGATGTTAGAGGGGGAGGGGAGGGAGGCGAAGGGGGAGGGGGAGACGCGGCAGGGGGAGGGGGAGCAGCAGTTGCGGCAGGGAAAGCAGAAGCAGGGGAAGCAGGAGGAGGAGACGAAGGAGGAGGTGTGATGTATGATACTCAGCACCCCACGGCTTAGCATCTCTCCTCTTACTACCTCCCCACCTCCCACCCCCCTCCCTCCCCTCCCCGTTTTTTCCCCCACCCACCCCACTCTCTCTCACCTTCCCCGCCCTCCCGTCTCCCTCTCTCATCCTCATGCTCTGTTCTTCTCTCTCTCCCATCCTTCTTCACATCCCATTCACACCCCCTCCCTCCCCTTTCGCCGAGCTCCCACATCGCCCTTTCATACTCTCTTTCCTTCCACCATGTTCTCGTTCGTCCCCCTGCTCTCGTCAGGGCTCACCCACAGATGCCCAATCACCATTCTCACCCCTCACTCTCTCACCCTGCACTCTCTCTCAAGCCTCACTCGCTCTCAAATCCCTTCTCTATCAAACCTCACTCTCTCACACCTCTCTTTGTCCTCCCTTTCTCCCCTCCCCCTTCCCACTCTGCAGCCTCACACCAGCCCCACTCCCCCCACTTCCACAACCCTCACCGCTGTCCTAACTCCAGTAAACGCTTTTGCCATCTGGACCACCGACCAGGTGCAAGCAGCGTGCAGAGGCGGCACTGCTGCTGCTACTGCCCTCTTGAGCCGCTTCCCACAGCAGCAGCAGCAGCAGCAGCAGCAACCACTCGTTAAGGACCCCCTAGAATCGCTCCGGTCTGATGGGAGACCACGACCAGGAGCCTTTGAGGCGCCTCAGAGTGGGACTGGAGGGGGGCTGCTAGGTGTTCAAGGGGAGGAAAGTGCCTGTTGCAGTGGGGAGGGTGCGGAGCAGGAGTGCTTGGAAACGGCCCAAGGGAGTGATGAGGAGGTGGAGGAGGAAAGGGAGGGTTATGGGGGTGATGATTACGATAGTGGTGGTGGCAGCAGTAGTGGCAACAACAGTAGCTGTGGTAGCAGTAGTGGCACCAGCGGCAGTAGTGACAGCAGTAGTGACAGCAGTAGTGACAGCAGTAGTGACAGCAGTAGTGACAGCAGTAGTGACAGCAGTAGTGACAACAGTAGTGACAGCAGTAGTGACAGCAGTAGTGGCAGCAGTAGTGGCAGCAGTAGTGACAGCAGTAGTGGCAGCAGTAGTGGCAAAAGCAATGGCAGTACCGGTGGCAGTAGCAATGGCAACAGCAGTGGACCCAAGGATGTGGAAGGTCGAGGCGAAGCTGGGGAAGCAGCAGCAGCAGCAGCAGCGGTGCAAGGGGGAATGGATGTGGTGCCGCTTATGTGTGTTGCTGTCACTCACTCTGCACCTGTAAGACGCATATCCTTTGTCTCTCCAGCCATCATGCGCTATCTCAAGACCTGCCATGCCCTGCCATGCAATGCCATGCCATGCCATGCCATGCCATGCTACCCCTAGCCATTCCACACTATGCCAAGCCATGTGAAGCGAAGCCACTCAGAGACTATGGCGCCCAATGTACCTGGGCTGAGTTTTTTAAACGTAGAACGCAATTTGCGTGCTTCTCTTCTCCTCCACCCCACCCGCTCCACTGGCCCTTATACAGTATCCTCCTCGCGATCCCTTTCTCCTCCAACCTCTTTTCTTCCTTCTCTCGCATGTTTTGCCACTCCCACTCTGCTTCCCCCCCCCACTTCCAGGCCATCTCAGGGGCCGTGAATTCATTGGTGCAGGAGTGCCAGCAGGGCTGGGTTTTTTCCTCATCCTTCCTATCCTTTCTCCCCTTCCTCTCCCCTCCTGCCCTCCCCCCATCCCAGGCCATCCCAGGGACCGTGAAGTCAAAGGTGCAGGAGTGGCAGCAGGGCTGGGGGCTGCCCATCCCTGCATACTCCACAGTCAACCTTTCCACGCACTGGCTCTGCGACGCGCTGCCCTCCCTGCTGCACGTGCCCTCCTTGCCAGTAACCGAGCCCATGGACCACAAGCCATGGTGGGTGAGCGGCCCTGGCGCCCTCCTCCCGCGCTTCGTGTCCCAGGTTCGCGTTCAGGTGCTCAGGCGGGCGTTGCGAGGGTCATTTCCAGGGGAGAGGGTAACAGAGGGCCACGGGGGGGCAGGCGATGGGAGAGGCGGTGAGGGGAAAGACGGCGAGGGGAAAGGCGGCAAGGGGAAAGGCGGTGAGGGGAAAGGCGGTGAGGGGAAAGGCGGCGAGGGGAAAGGCGGCGAGTGGCAGTGGCAGTGGAAGTGGGAGCGGTTTATGGGTCTGCCGGCAGCAGCAGTGAAGGAGGCGGAGAACAGAGCGGCGTTTGCGGCGCTGCAGGCACTGGTGGGGCCAGGTGAGAGGGCTGGCTTGTTTGGATGTGTGTCGTGTTGGGAACGGTGCTGCCGTGCGGTAGATGTGTCTGATGTTCAAGTCGTAGGCTTGATGGTACAGGTGGGCTGCGCTGCGGAGGACGTAAGTAATAGAGTCCACTTCAAAATATCTCTGAAAGGGTCCAGAGAGGTCCCCGATGTTTTGCTGTCAAGGTGTCCAACGGAGTGTGCTGCTAAGCTAGTAAAGGCCCCTCAGAGTAGGTTGTTTGCTTGAGTGCCGGTTCAAGTCTGCCTGGCCTCTCGAGGCAGAAAAGAAACCATGGAAATACCTGACTGACTATGCTCTGCCTCACTCACGAAGCAGAGACTTTTGAGGTGCCTCAAAACTGACTATGCTCTGCCTCACTCACAAAGCGGAGTTCCTGGCAATTGGCGACCTCCTGCACTCACAGGGGATGGTTTTTGAGTCAACAACAACATGCCTACCCATCCCCCATGCCCACCGCCCATGCCGTTCCACGCATCCCCATCACCCAGCGGCAGCGGAGTTTCTTGCGTTTGACGGCCTCCTTCACTCACAGGTCGCGGCTTCTGAATTAAATCGACTCAAAGCCCATGCCCTTTCATTCATGCATGCTCGCCGCCCATGCCCTTCCCCATCCACACCCCCATCCTGCAGAGGAGGCTGAGTTTCTGGCGTTTGACGACCTCCTGCACTCACAGGGCGCTGCAGCTGTGGCGCTTCGTTGTCCTCCCAGGCTTGCACGTACGTATGCTTGTCTCTCTCCTCTTCTAGCGGCTTGCTCCCTCCCTCCCGCTCGCTTTCCATCACTCTTTTGCTGTTTTTTGCATGGGTTTACTAGATGCAACTGGAATAATGCTTCCACTCCCTCCCACTCCCTCCCACTCCCTCCCACTTCCTCCCACTCCCTCCCACTCCCTCCCACTCCCTCATACTCCTTCCCACTTCATCCCATTCCTTCCACTCCCTCATGCTCCCTCCCACTCCCTCCCACCCCTCCCACCCCTCCCTCTCAGCGGATATCATCATTGCCATTGTACCAGCAGCAACATCTGTCAATCTGAACGCCATTGCTGCTCATTTTGGCCTCCTCCCAAGGTACTTCGCTTCACCACACCCCCTACTGTTGCCTTCGTCACAACGTCTATTCTCTTTCCTTCCTCCCTGAGCCCCTTTGAAAGGGCCTTCTTATTCTTTGCTGGCTTCGCTGTGCAGCGAACCCGTGCTGTCGCATCTCCATCCGTCATCTTTCCTTCCTTACTCTTTTTTCCTCCCTCCCTTTCCTTCCCACCCGAACTGTTTCCTCCTCTCCTGTCACCCCCCTCTGTGCCACTCTGCTCCTCTTCGTTTCTCCCGTCCTTTACTATCCTTCCCCCATCATTACCCTGTCGTCTCCCCTTCTCTCCCCTCCTCTCTCCTACCTTTCCTTCTCACCACTCGTCGTCTCCCTTCTCTCTCCATGTTTCCTCCTCTCCCTCTCTTCTCCCTTCCCCATCCTCCCCTCTCCCCCATCCCTTCACAGTTCCCTCTCTTTCCCCCTTTCCTCGACTGCAGCCGCCCTTACCGGCTTCCACAGTGAATCCCTGCCTCCCCTGGGCTATACCCAGTCAGTCACCACACTGGTCGATTCCTCCCTCCTCCTCCACCTCCGCCTTCCCTCCGCGCCCTGCCCCTCGCCCTCTTCATCTTCATCCCCCACCGACTCATCTTCTCCTGTAATCTCCGTTGCCACTAGTGCAAATGATTCCCAGCAGCAGCAGCAGCAGCAGCAGCAGCAGCAGCAGCAGCAGCAGCAGCAGCAGCAGAGTTACCACCAGGAGGAGCACAATGAGACCGTGTTCATGCTGCCTGCTGGTGACTCGGACCACTGGCTGTTCATCCGCCCTCAGCCGCTCCTCCGAGTCACGCAGGCCATCCCTGTGCCCAACCTCGCTCTCCCATGCTCCCCTGCTCCTCCCTCCTCTCCCTCCCCACTCCCCACTCCCTCCTCTCATCCCTCTCCCTCCCCTCCTTCCTCTCCTTCCTCTTCTGCCTCCTCAATTGCATCCTCGCTTTCCACCGAACCTCGCACCCAACCTCCCGATTCGATTCCTCCTTCATCCCCCTCATCATCTTCCTCCTGCTCTCCCACGTCCGTCCCACCACCCCCAACTGCATCTGTCTCTTCCCCCGCGCTTCCCTCCCACCCCTCATCCCCGCGCTCTGTCTCTCCATCCGCTCTCAACCCCTCTCCACAGTCATCCCTTGAAACCTCCTCTCTCTATTCCTCTCCTCACTCTATTCCCTCCTCTGCTCACACTGCCACCTCTCACCTCGCTACCTCTACCTGTCACACAAGCAGCAGCCCTCTTGTTTCTCGTCGTGCCATTCTATCTGCTTGCGCCGTGGCCGTGTGTCCCCTGGGCCTCTCCTTGTGGGCTGCTGCCGCTGCTACTGCCGCTGCTACTGCCGCTGCTACTGCCGCTGCTACTGCCGCTGCTACTGCCGCTGCTACTGCCGCTGCTACTGCCGCTGCTACTGCCGCTGCTGCTCCAACAGCTGCTGCTCCTACTGCTGCTGCTGCTGTCGCTGCTGCTGCTGCTGCCGCCGCCGCTGCTGCCGTTGCTGCTCTCTTACACACACCATTGCCCATACCTGCACCATTACCAACCATCCTAGGTTTAGCACCAGCAGGAATTACTGCCGCACTCGCGCTAGCCACCACCACCTCCCTTCCGTCCCCCACCCTACGCTGCTATCTCCACAGCATCAGCAGCCGCTCTGATAGGCACTGCCTGCCACACAATGGAAAGGGCCTTTCCCGCAGGCACACACCTGCCAAGACTCACACCTGCATGCATACCCCATCAAGCCACTCCCACTCTCACTCACACTCATGCACAGCAACCATTCCTTATGCGCTCCCAGGTGTTAGGCTCGTTGCTGGTGCGCACATCAACTCCCCAATCACTGTACATGCTCCACAGAGTAGCAGGCTTGCAACCCGTCCAGGTTCCCTGAATCTGCAGCAGCGGGGTTGTCACAGCAGCAGGTGGTTGGCAGTGACACAGGGATCCAGGACACAGGAGGATTCGGAAAGTGGTTTTCCGAGGAGGGGGTTCATCCTCCCTGTGCCGCTGCCTGCAACGGGCTCGTTTCATCAGGGTTTCAGGGGCGTGAGTTACATTAGGCAGCCCACTGGTGGAGTGAAAATGCTGGCGCCGCCCCTCGCTTTGCTGTAGACAAGGGGAAGCGGACACAGGAAGTGTGCGGATGCGTATTTTGAGAATGCTCAACGGTAGGTGTGCCTGCAACACCCAGGGGAAGCGGACGGAGGTGTGTGCTGATGAACAATTGTGCGGGTCGAATCCTGGCTTAGCAGGATCGTAGTGGATCACTGGAGCGGGGTCAGTGGGTGGGGTGCAGGCCTCAAATTTGAAGGGTGTTTCACCCTGATTGCCCTTGCCAGCGGCCGCTTTTTCAGGATCACCCTGATTTTGTGAGGGCATTTTTTCTGTGACCCTTAGTCAAAAAGTGTAAGATTATTTTTACCCTGCTGCAGTAAGTACTTCTAGTTCTAACCTGACCAGACAGGGTAGCGCCGAAATCACACTGAAACAGATGAACGGCCCGCACATTCGACAAGTTTTTGTGTCCAGCTGGCGTCGCACTGCATGTGTGATTTTGGCGAAGGGCCAATCAGGCCCCTCACACCTGCTCCAGCTCGTGTCGGACTGCATCTTTGAATTTGTCGAAGGCCCAGTTAGTCCCCTCTGTTAGAGTGAGAACTGAATGGTTGAATAGCGAGAGAGAACAAGGGTATATACCTAAGAATGTTGTACCCTCTAAGAGGTGACCCTATACAGTCTATACAAACATGAGTTATACATATATTTGACACACCCCCTAGACTGCATAGGGGCAAATCCTGAACAAGCAGCTCAGGGCGGCACTACTAGTCCAGCCACTGAGACAAGGGTCTAAAGACCAGTAAAAAAGAGTACAGGCAAGACAAGAACAAGACCAGGGCGGCACTACTAGTCCAGCCACTGGGAAAGGACACAAGTCCAGTCTGAGTACATAGATAGATATATATAGGACAGTACAAAGTCAAGGTCCTAGCAAGTGAGAGGCTACAGGAACTAGACCGAGCTGTACACAGTGCCGCTGATGATCTTTAGGCGCAAGCGCCTTCGTAAAGATATCAGCTGTGTTGGCACCAGAGGCCAAGTGAACTACGCGGGCCTGGCGACACTACTGTAGCTCGCTCAGGAGGAAGTACCGCAGCTGAATGTGCTTCGCTCTGCCCTCAAGTCGAGGCTCCTGACACAGGAGTATCATGGCCCTGTTGTCAGCGTACAGGGCCGGGGCAGAGCTAGGCCGCTCACCTAAGTCAGTGAGCAAGAAGGTCAGCCAGCGGAGCTCCTGTGCCGCCATGGCACCAGCGTAGATCTCAGCCTCACAGCTCGACTGAGCAACTGCCGACGAGCGAGTGGATCTCCAAGAGATAGCACCCAAACCAAGGCTAAAACAGTAGCCCTGCGACGACCTGAGCGTCTCAGAGTCGTCTGCCCAAGAAGCGTCCGTGTGCCCAGTGAGGACCACTGGCCTGCGTCCTCCTAACACTAACCCCATGCCTGATGTACTTGCTAGATATCGCAAAACCCTCTTAGCTGCCGACCAGTGCTGTGGTCGGTGTCTGCCAGTGGCCACAAAGCGAGCCAGGATGCTGAGAGGGTATGCGAGATCTGGGCGAGTGCAGGTCATCAGGTACATGAGGCAGCCCACCAGCTCTGCGTAGGGGCCGCTGGGCTCTACTGACTCCTCAGGAACAGGAGCGGAAAGCCCGTGGTCTACAGGTAGAGGTGTGGGCTGTGCAGAGGAGAACTGAAGACCGAACCTCTGAAGGACCTGACGCACCAAGTGTGATTGGGTCAGAGTGATGGTGCGTGCTGCTCTGTCCCTAGAGATCTGCAGGCCAAGATAGCGACGCAGCTCTCCAAGATCAGTGCAGGTGTGTCTCTTCAGCAGCTCAGTCTTCATAGAGGCCAGTGCGTCCCTGTCAGCAGTAGCGAAGACCAGGTCGTCTACGTAGACAAGGATGTAGAACGGAGTCTGGCCGGAACGCACAAACAGTGAAGGGTCAGCAGAGGACGGAAAGAACTGCAGGTCTGCTAACGTGGCACGTAGCGTGTCGTGCCACTCGCGGGGAGCCTGACGCAGGCCGTAGACCGGGCGCCTGAGAAGCCACTAGGTCCCAAGAGGGAAGGTACCAATGAAGCCCTGTGGTCGGCACAGGTAGATCTGCTCGTGTAGGCTGCCCTGAAGAAAGGCAGTAGAGAAGTTGAGGGACTGAAGCTCGTAGTCACGCTGTGCTGCTACGTGTAGCAGCGCCCGAAGAGTGGTCATCTTCAGGGTCGGGGCGAAGGTCTGGAAGAAGTCAACCCCCTCGCGCTGACTGAAACCTCTGGCCATGTAGCGCGCCTTGAAGACAGGCGGCTCTCCAGGGGGGCGCTTCACCTTGAAGAGCCACCGACCATCGACTACGTTCACCCCAGGCGGGGGAACAGCGTCGACGTAAGTGCTGGTGGACCTCCAAGATGCCATCTCCTGCTCCATGGCAGCTATCCACTGAGAGGCCCAAGGTCCCGAGGTGGCCTCAGCGTAGGTGCGAGGGGTCGGGATGTCGAAGGCGTCTGGGTCACCCTCAGGGACTAAAAGCATGGAGCAGAGATGGGGAGCAGCCTCGGACAGGAAAGCCAGCTCGTACTGCCTGTCCTCTAGGACGTCACTGCCAAGGGCAGGAGCACCCCCGACGGACGGAGGATGGGCAGGGTCAGAGACCAGAGCGGTAGCGTAGTCAAGGCGGCGGGTAGAGACGAAGTCAGCGACAGCAGCGACAAGCGCGTCAAGGCGCGAGACAGGAACAGTAGGGTCGGTAACAAGAGAGGCAAGGACCCGAGGGACAAGGGGACGAGCAGCACGGAGGTAGTCAGAGAACGGAGGAGGTGCAACAGCAAGGGACGAGGGAGGAGGGGACGGGAGGAGAGGAGGACGAGAGGAGCGGGAACGGAGCAACATAAGGTGGGTGGGCAGGACAGGAGAGACGGGACGAGCACGGGAGGGACGACGAGCCCAAACGTGAGACGGAGGGGTAGGGTCAGGGGAAAGCGGAGGAGGAGACACAGGAGGGGAACGAGGAGGAAGACGGGCCGCAGACGAGTCCGGCGGCGGGAACACAGGACCGTAGACAGGAAGGTCAGCGGGCGGTGGGGTAGACACCGGCGCGCGGTCCGGGGAGGGAAGGCCGAGCAGGTGGAGAGCGGAGACCGGCGGCGACGGCTGCTGCGGCGGCGATGACGGCTGGGCCGGAACTCTCGGACCAGCAGAGGCAGAACGACCGTCGGCAGAACACTCAACAGCAGCACCCCCAGAACCAACACCCCCAGAGCAAGAACCCCCTCCAACACCAGCGGCACCCCCAGAAGCCGCAGGACGAACACCCTCCTCCACACCAGCACCCCCAGGGGCCAAGAGGGGCGGCGGCAGTGGCGGCGACGACTGCGGCGGCGACTGCTGCGGTGGCGGCGACAGCGGCGATGGCTGCGGCGGTGACGGCGACGGCGGCTGCAGCGGGGTCGGCGACTGCGACAGTGGGGGCGGAGGAACCGGGGAAGGGGGACGCGGCAAGGACAGACCGGGGGTACCACCAGAGTCAGCAGACTCCTCAACGGGGACAACCGACGGGAGGGGAGTGACGTGAGAGACACCAGATGGGGCAGGACGAGGCGGGAGAGGGGCAGGGGCTACCGGGGGAGAGGGAGCAAGGAACAGGGGGGGGGCAACTGGGAGACCTCGGTGAGGGAAGCGGCGGTAAAAGGAGACGGACTCGTCAAAGGTAACGTCACGAGAGTGGAGGAAGCGGTGAGACGGCGGGTGATAGAAAAGCCAGTCAGACGAGTCCAGGGGGAAACCGAGGAAGACACAGGGGACAGTGCGGGCAGTGAGCTTGTCTGTGCCAGAGGCACGAACGTGAGCAAGGCAGCCCCAGACGTGGAACGCAGACGCGTCACCGGGGGACCCGGTCCAAAGAAGGGTCGGCGAAACCTGCGGCCGCTGGGAGCGTGGCCACAGGTTAAGCTGGTGAGCAGCGTAGCGAACAGCGAACGGCCACAGAAAATGGGGGGCATCGGCATGGATCATGGAGGTGCGGGCGACCTCCATGACCAAGCCGATGCGGCGCTCAGCAACCCCATTTTGCTGTGGCGAGTCCGGCAAGGTGTACGACTGGGTGATGCCCTCCGCACGACAGAACTGTCCAAGCCGACCAGAGGCGAACTCGCCGCCACGGTCGGAGTGGAGACACAACACGGGGAGACCGCGGTGGAGACGCGCGGCCACAACCCACAGGAGAAGAACGTCGGGCACGTCGGCCTTCCGCTCCAGGGGAAACACCGTGGTGTAGCGCGTGTAGTCGTCGACGAGCACAAGGATGTAGCGCTCATCGCGCGGTCCGGGGACGGGGGCAGGGCCCCAAACGTCCAGGTGCAGGGTCTGAAGGGGGGCAGTAGCCGAGCGCAACGAGGAGGAGTTAGGGGCACGGCGGAGCCGGCCCTCGACGCAAGGCGTGCACGGTGGTGCAGTTGAGGGATGAAGGGCGGGGAGCGACACAGGGAGACCTAAGACAAGGCCGTGCTGGGACATGTGACGCAGACGAGGGAGAGCAGGGTGACCTAAGCGGTGGTGCCAGAGAAGGGACGGGTGAGTGAGGGAACGACACGAGCAAGCTGCAGCAACCTGGGAGGACGCACCAACCGGAGGGGAAGCGGTGTCTAGGGTAAACAGACCGGACACCGGGTCCCTGGGGAACGTCGCAAGGGGGGAACCTGCGACAGCCTCAGAATAGACAGCGAACCGCTCGTGCCCGGGGAACGTGGTGGTGACGCCGAGGTCCTGGAGACAGCCGACACCAACCAGGTTCCTCGAGAATGAGGGAACGTGGAGGCCTGTAAGGGAGCCCGAGGGAACGGCTGGACAGGGAAGGGACGTAGAACTGCGAGCGACGACAGGACCCGCAGAGGGGTCGGCGAGAGAGACGACAGCTGGCGTAGCAAGCGGCGTAAGTGCGAACGGTCGCGGAAGAACAGGCAGAAGCCCGGAGTCGAGAGTGAAGGACAGCGCAGCAGTGGCAGGGGCGGGGAACGGAGCCGGTGCAGAGACGAGGCTAGACAAACTAGGCAGTCCTACGCCTGACGCAGCAGGGGAGGCTAGGCTACACAACGGTGCAACACCTAAACTAGAGAACACAGGATAATAAGATCCAGCAGCACTAGCAGCGTCAGAATACATGGCATGCAAAGCAGCACCTATCTGATCCATGCCTAACTCAAAGATCGGCACGCCCTGGCGGAGCAGGCTGTGCCAGTCGGGGAGGTCCGGGGCCGGGCCAAAGCGACGACGAAACAGATCGTCGGGGCGGCGAAAACAGCGGGCAGTCGGGTGCGGGCGGCGGCACAGAGTGCCGCGAAGGGGCCCGGTCTGAAGCTGGTACTGACAGGTGACAGCACCGGAGCCGCTAGTAGATGCCAAGCTGCGCGGGCGGCCACCACTGCCACCACCCCCTGAGAAGCCGGGCCAACCAGGCGGGAGGCGAGCCCACTGCTGCGGGGGCTGCGGCTGGGACGGCGGCTGCTGCTGGGAAGGCGGCTGCGGCGCAGGCTGCTCTTGCTGCGGCTGGGGCTGCTGCTCCTGACCACCAATGCTAGTCCCCCCAGACGGACTACTCTCACGACCACCAGCACCACTACCTGCACCACCACCCCTACCACCCTGGCGACCACGGCCACCGCGGCGCGAGCGCTGCTGCGGGTGGACCACAGCAGCCGTCTCGGTGAGAGGGGTCGCCGTGGCGACCGCAGCCGAAACGTCAGTGAACGTGCACTGTGAGGGGGCACAGCCGCGAAACATAGAGACTACCGGCGCACCGCTCGACTGAGTGATAGTGCGCTGGCGAGTCTCGATCTCGGTGAGGGTGTCGACAAAGGCAGTGAGAGTGAGGTCAGCCGGGTGCAGGCTAAGGAAGTGATCGCGAGCACTAGCGAGGCGGTCTGGCAGGCGCATGGCGATAAAATAGAGCGTCATGCAGAAAGGGGGGGGGAGCGCAGTGAGCTGGGCAGCAATGCTGGCAGTGCGATAGCGGGTCTCTAGAGCACGCAGGTGAGTGGCAAAGTCTGCGACGGTAGGGAAAGCTGCAAGGTCTGGGAAAAGCATAGGGAAGAGCAGGCGACCAGCAGAAGCAGACGCGGGTGTGGAATAGCGGGCAATAACAGCGTTTAAGTAAGCTTTGGCCGTCTCAATAGTAGCAAAATGCGAGCGCTCAGAGACAGGGAGGGCATGGCTAATGGCTACCTGAGCGACTGCATCGCGGGAGTTCCAGACCGCACGGGCAAGCGCAGCAGTAGAGAAGGTCTCACGGTCATCAGAGGAGGGATCAGCAGGGAGGGGGGCAGGTACAGGGGGGCGGGGGAGCAAGCCGTCAACATGGACAACCAAAGAGTGGCCATCCTGACGCTGACCTGTAAGGTGGCGGCGGAGGTCGGAGAGCCAGGCGGCGAAGTCAACGGCATGGCCTTCAGCGTCCAGTCAGAGCACGAAGTCTGCCATCGTGCAGGGTCAGTGGCACAGCTCCACAGGAACACAGCTACAGCCCCCTCCAGCACAGTGACCACGAAGCGCCTCAGCACGGGCGAGCGGAGGAGACGGAGCCCGAGGCGGCACAGCAGGACGAGCCGGGGCGAAAGGGGCCAGGCAGGTACGGTGGGGCCAGGCAGGCGCGGCAGGGCCAGGCAGCCACGGCGGGCCAGTCAGGGGCGGCGGGGCCAGGAGGCATGGCGGGGCCAGAAGGCGCGGCGGGGCCAGGCAAGTGCGGCGGGGCCAGGTAGGCGCGGCAGGGCCAGGCAGGTGCGGCGGGCCAGTCAGTGGCGGCGGGGTCAGGAGGCGCGGCAGGGCCAGGTAGGCGCGGCGGGGCCAGGCAGTGCGGCGGGGCCAGGCAGGCGCGGCGGGGCCAGAAGGCGCGGTGGGGCCAGCCAGGTGCGGCGGGGCCAGGCAGGCGCGTTAGGGCCAGGCAGGCACGGCGGGCCAGTCAGGGGCGGCGGGGCCAGGAGGCACGGCGGGGCCAGAAGGCGCGGCGGGGCCAGGCAGGTGCGGCGGGGCCAGGTAGGCGCCGCAGGGCCAGGCAGGCGCGGCGGGCAAGTCAGGGGCGGCGGGGCCAGGAGGCGCGGCAGGGCCAGGCAGGCGCGGCGGGGTCAGGCAGTGCGGCGGGGCCAGGCAGGCGCGGCGGGGCCAGAAGGCGCGGCGGGGCCAGGCAGGTGCGGCGGGGGCCAGGCAGGCGCGCAGGACCAGGTAGGCGCGGCGGGCCAGTCAGGGCGGCGGGCCAGGCGGCGCGGCAGGGCCAGGCAGGCGCGGCAGGGCCGGGCAGGTGCGGCGGGGCCAGGCAGGCGCGACGGGCCCAAGCAGGCGCGACGGGTGCTAGGAGGCACGAGGGGCCCAGGAGGGGCACGACGGGCTAGGAGGCGCGCGAGGGGCCCGGGAGGGGCGCGACGGGGCCCAGGAGGGGCGCGACGGGGCTAGGGGGCCGCGACGGGGCCCAGGAGGGGTGCGACGGGGCTAGGGGGGCGCGACGGGGCCCGGGAGGGGTGCTACGGGGCTAGGCAGGCACGGCGGGGCCAGGCAGGCGCGGCGGGTGCTAGGAGGCACGAGGGGCCCAGGAGGGGCACGCCGGGCTAGGAGGCGCGCCAGGGGCCCAGGAGGGGCGCGACATGGCTAGGGGGGCGCGACGGGGCCCAGGAGGGGCGCTACGGGGCTAGGGGGGCGCGACGGGGCCAGGAGGCGCGACGGGGCCCAGGAGGGGCGCGACGGGGTCAGGAGGGGCGCGACTAGGCTAGGAGGCGCGACGGGGCCCAGGAGGGGCGCGACTGGGCTAGGAGGCGCGGCAGGGCCCAGGAGGGGCGCGACGGGGCCTAGCTAGGGTACGGGCGGAAGCGGCAGGTGGGGGATCCTAACCTACGCGTGATACCATGTTAGAGTGAGAACTGAATGAATGAATAGCGAGAGAGAACAAGGGTATATACCTAAGAGTGTTGTACCCTCTAAGAGGTGACCCTACACAGTCTATACAAATATGAGTTATACATATATTTGACACAGGGTCCGTGCTAGGAAAAAAACCTGTGATTGCTTAGATGGGCAGGCCTGTCATTATCAGGGTATTTTACCCTGATTCCCTGATTTCACAGGGTATTTTTTTGGCCAACCCTTAATTTTTAGGGTTGGACTTTTCTTAACCCTAGCCCAGGCCCTCAGATATCAGGGTAAAACACCCTGAAAGCCTGATTTTCAGGGTGTGGTCTGTTCTTGAGCCCTGAGATTTTAGGGTATTCATTTTGTTTGGCCTGAAATTTCAGGATGTGTGTTCTATTGGGCCCTGTTATTTCAGAGTGTTCTGATCTGCCTAGCCCTGAGGCCTCAGGGTATTACCGGGGACAGCCCTGACCTAATACATGCCCCCTGTACTGACGGGACGATACTAGGCTTATCCCCAGATTCCCGTCGAAGATGCCCGCGAATTGCATCTGTCCCATCGGCAGCATCACCGCCTAGTCTAGCAGCACCGGTTCCAGCAGCACCAGTTCCAGCAGCGTCAGTTCCAGCAGCGTCAGTTCCAGCAGCGCCAGTTCCAGCACAGCCAGTTCCAGCAGCGCCAGTTCCAGCAGCGCCAGTTCCAGCAGCGCCAGTTCCAGCAGCGCCAGTTCCAGCAGCGCCAGTTCCAGCGGCGCCAGTTCCAGCAGCGCCAGTTCCAGCAGCGCCAGTTCCAGCAGCGCCAGTTCCAGCAGCGCCAGTTCCAGCAGCGCCAGTTCCAGCAGCGCCAGTTCCAGCGGCGCCAGTTCCAGCAGCGCCAGTTCCAGCAGCGCCAGTTCCAGCAGCGCCATTCCCTGCCACGCCGATTCCAGCAGCACCAGTTCCAGCAGCAAGTGTGGCATCATTGGCGCATAGTGCCACCCGCATGGGTCCCAGCACGTCCAAACAGGTGCTCGGTGCCAGGTGCTAGATAAGGAGAGGAGGATGGTGAGCCAAAGAATGATGATGACAGTAGCTGTGGGTTTAGCTCTGATGACGAAGGAAATTTTTAATCTGATGTATCTGAACTGTAATGGACGATGTGGTATTCTGCCATACCGTGTGTGTTTCATGACAATTGTGGTGTTGTTGGTTGGATTGGAACATAAAGCTGCTCTCTGAAAACTACCCTGACACCTCAGGGTATTGTGTTGACGTTGCCCTGTGTAAACAGGGTGTGCATAGCGTTCAAACCCTGAGAGGTTCATGCTTTTCAGAGGGTGAACCCTGAGGGCTCAGGGTGCCTAAATTTGAATCTGAGGGCCTGCCCTAGCCCCTTCAGAGTTGTAAGTTTCTGAACACTTGGGATTTCAGGGATTGCGTTATGCCAATACTGAGTTTTCAGGGAGCAACGAGTACGAACCCTAAGTGCGACATCCATGTGCCTCACAGCCCTGAAATTTCGGTCAAGTCCCCAATCTCTTAGAAACAGTACCCCCACACACGTATCAGAATGAGTAGTTGAGTAGAATAGAAGGATACAGGGCAGGCCCCCAGAAGTCAGGAAAATTTTCCTGATTCAGGAAAAAAACAGGGTGTTGAGGGGTACCAGGTCTGATTTGCTAGGGTTTTGTTTTTGGCATTTCCTGAAATTTCAGGGTTTTTTTGTAAGGGATATCTGTCAGCTCAGTTTTTTTTTGTAATGGATCCTGAAATTTCAAACTTGTATCGAGCATGGGTTCTGAGCGGGTCTTAGTCCTTTCCAAAAGCGTGTCTTGGGGGGGCAGTAAAAAATTTCAAGGTTCTCCACCCCCCCCCCCCCCCTCTTCCCCACCCCCCGAGGCTGTGTGAGGGCGCTGATTGGCCCTTGGTAAAAAAAATCTCCGCGCTGTATGTTGGAGGTCGTGTGAGGGAGGTCATCGGCCCTTAGCCATGTATTCGCCTCGATGTGTGCTGAGGGCTGTGTGAGAGCAATTGCTGGCCCTTGGCCAAATTTGTTTGATGTGTGCGTGCCGTGGGGCTCTGCGAGGGAAGAGATTCCCTCCGCCCCTGCAATCTCGTCGCCTCCCCCCCTACTAAGCCCCTCCTCCCTCTCCCCCCACCACCAATTGTCGTTTCCTGCCCATTCCCCAATCTCACCCCACACGCGCGAATTCGCTACAAATTCCCAGCACCCCCAACAACCAAGACTTGAACACATGATTCATGAACTAAAACATGTATAAAAAGATAGAAAAATCATGATTTTTTTTTAAAAGTAATTCTGATGGCTCGGGATTTTTTATTAGGGGACCCTGAAAATTCATACTTTTATGCAGGGAGAATCCTGATGGATCAAAAGCCTCAAAACCAATCTAGGGCCCTGATACAGGGGTATATAGACAAGGGGTTGTACCCTCTAAGGCACAATGCAGTATAGTCTACAGTAACTACATAAGTTCCATTTGACACACCCCCTTGACTATATAGGGGCAGTACCTAACAGGAGAAGAATCAGCTCAGGGCGGCACTACTAGTCCAGCATCTGAGGCAAGGGTCTAAAGACCAGTCAAAGGAAAGCAGGCAAGACAAGAGCAAGACCAAGGCTGCACTACTAGTCCAGCCACTGCGAGAGGCCACAAGGCCAGTCAGGGTAATATATATAGAAAAGGTTTGTACACAATCAAAGCCCTAGCAAGTGAGAAGCTACAGGAACAAGACCAAGCTGTAGACAGTGCCGCTGATAATCTTTAGGCGCAAGCGCCTTCGTAAAAATATCAACTGTGTTGGAACCAGAGGCCAAGTGTACTACGCGGGCCTGGCGACGCTGCTGCATCTCACGCAGGAGGAAGTACCGCAGCTGGATGTGCTTCGCTCTGCCCTCGAGTCGCGGCTCCTGACACAGGAGGATCATGGCCCTGTTGTCAGCGTACAGGATCGGGGCAGAGCTAGGCCGCTCACCTAAGTCAGTGAGCAAGAAGGTCAGCCAGCGGAGCTCCTGTGCCGCCATGGCACCGGCGTAGATCTCGGCCTCACAGCTGGACAGGGCAACAGACGAGGAGCGAGTAGCTCTCCACGAGACAGCACCTGAACCAAGGCTAAAGCAGTAGCCCTGTGAGGACCTAAGAGTCTCAGCGTCGTCTGCCCACGAAGCGTCTGTGTGCCCAGTAAGGACCACTGGCCTACGCCCTCCAAGCACAAACCACAAGCCCGAAGTACTTGCAAGATAACGCAAAACCCTCTTAGCGGCAGACCAGTGCTGAGCTCAGTGTCTGCATGTGGCCACAAAGCGAGCCAACATACTGAGAGGGTATGCGAGATCTGGGTGAGTGTAAGTCATCAGGTACATGAGGCAACCCACCAGCTCGGCGTAAGGGCCACTGGGCTCTACCAACTCCTCAGGAACTGGAGCAGAGAGCCTGTGGTCTACAGACAGAGGGGTGGGCTGTGCAGAGGAGAACTAAAGACCGAACCTCTGAAGGACCTGGCGCAACAAGTATGATTGAGTGAGGGTGATGGTGCGCGCTGCTCTGTCCCTGGAGATCTGCAAGCCAAGGTAATGGCGCAGTTCTCCAAGGTCAGTGCAAGTGTGTCTCTTCAGCATCTCTGCCTTCACGGAGGCCAGTGCGTCCCCGTCTGCAGTGGCGAAGACCAGGTCATCTACGTAAACAAGAATGTAGAACGGAGTCTGGCCAGTACGAACAAAGAGCGAGGGGTCTGCAGAGGACAGAAAGAACTGCAGGTCAGCAAGGGTAGCACGCAGTGTGTCATGCCACTCACGAGGAGCCTGTCGCAGGCCGTAGACGGGGCGCCGCAGGAGCCACTGGGTCCCAGGAGGGAAGGTACCAGGAAAACCCCGAGGCCGGCGCAGGTAGATCTGCTCGTGTAGACTGCCCTGAAGAAACGCAAGAGAGAAGTCGAGGGAGTGAAACTCGTAGTCACGCTGAGCTGCTACGTGTAGCAGCACCCGAAGAGTAGTCATCTTTGGGCTCGGAGCAAAGGTCTGGAAGAAGTCCAACCCCTCACGCTGACTGAAACCTCTAGCCACGTAGCGCGCCTTGAACACAGGTGGCTCTCCAGGAGGGCGCTTCACCTTGAAGAGCCAGCGGCCATCGACTACGTTCACCCCAGGTGGGGAACTGCGTCGACATAGGTGCCGGTGGATCTCCAAGATGCCATCTCCTGCTCCATGAAAGCTATCCACTGAGAGGCTCAGGGTCCCGAAACCGCCTCTGCGTAGGTGCGACGGGTCAGGATGTCGAAAGCGTCGGGGTCACCCTCAGGGACTAGAAGCATGGAACATAGATGGGGAGCAGCCTCGGACAGGAAAGCAAGCTCGTACTGACGGTCCTCCAGGACGTCACTGCCAAGGGCAGGAGCACCCCCGACAGACGGAGGACAGGCAGGGTCAGAGACCAGAGCCGTGGCGTAGTCAAGGCGGCGGGTAGAGGCGAAGTGAGCGACCGCAGCGACAAGAGCGTCAAGACACGAAACCGGAACAGACGGGTCGGTAACGAGAGAGGCAAGGACCCGAGGAACAAGAGGACGAGCGGCACGCAGGTTGTCAGACAGAGGGGGGGGCGCAACAACAAGGGAGGACGGAGGAGGCGGCGGGAGAAGGGGAGGACGAGACACGTGGGAACAAAGCAACATAGGGTGAGAGCGCGAGACAGGGGAGACAGGTCGAGCATGGGAGGGAAGGCGAGACAAGATGTGAGACGGAGGCGTCGGGTCAGGAGACAGAGGAGGGGACACAAGACGGGAACGAGGGGGGAAACGAGCCAGAGGCGTGTCCGAAGGAGGGAACACAGGGTCATAGACAAGAGGAGGAGGAGGCACAGGCGTTGGGTCAAGGGATGGAAGGCCGAGTAGGCGAAGAGCTGACACCGGCAGGGACTACTGCTGTGGCGGTGCGACACCGACACCGGGACCGCTAGCTGCCGGACGGCTACCTCCAGAACACTCCACTCCTGCACCCCAAGAAGGAAGACCCCCAGAGCTCAGAACCCCTCGAGCACCGGTACCACCCCCAGGCCCGCCGGGACAAGCCACGAAAGGAGTCCCAGGACTAGTACCCACCCCAACTCCAGCACCCCCAACGTCAACGAACTGCTGCGGCGACGGTTGCGGCGACGACGGCTGCAATGGCCGCTGCGGCGGCGGCGGTGACGACGGCTGCGACAGCGGTGGCGACGGTGGTTGTGGAGGCGGCGGAGGAGGCAACACCTGAGGAGGGGCAGGCGGCGAGGACTGCGCCGTAGGACCACCCAAGTCAGCAGACTCCTCAACCGGGACAACCGACGTAAGGGGGGTGACGTGGGACACACTAGAGGGGGCAGGACGGGGAGGGGGAGGGGGAGGGGCAGGGACTACCAGGGAAGGAGTGACCAGGAACAGGGGGGGGGTAACCGGGTGACCTCGGTGGGGGAAGCGGCGGTAGAAGGAGACGGACTCGTCAAAGGTGACGTCACGGGAGTGAAAGAACCTGTGAGACGGCAGGTGGTAGAAGTGCCAGTCGGACGCGTCAAGGGGGAAACCGAGGAAGACACAGGGAAGGGTGCGGGCAGTGAGCTTGTTCGTGCTAGAGGCACGAACGTGAGCAAGGCAGCCCCAGAGGTGCAACGCAGACGCGTCACCAGGTGACCCAGACCAAAGAAGGGTCGGCGAAACCTGCGGCTGCTGGGGGTGTGGCCAGAGGTTAAGCTGGTGAGCGGCGTAGCAAACAACGAACGGCCACAGAAAATGGGGGGCACCGGCATGGATTATGGAGGTGCGAGCCACCTCCATGACCAAACCGATGCGTCGCTCAGTGACCCCATTCTGCTGCAGGGAGTCCGGCAAGGTGAACGTCTGGGTGATGCCCTCCGCACGACAGCAACGACCAAGGACACCAGAGGCAAACTCGCCATCACGGTCGGAGTGGAGACGCAAGACAGGGAGACCGCGGTGGACACGCGCAGAGACAAGCCACGGGATGAGAACGCCAGGCACGTCGGCCTTCCGCTCCAGGGGGAACACAGTGGTGTAGCGCGTGTAATCGTCGACAAGCACTAGGAAGTAGCGCTCTCGACGCGGCCCATGGACGGGGTCGGGGCCCCAGACGTCCATGTGCAGAGTCTGTAGCAGTGCGGCAGTAGGGGGAAACGAGGAGGAGTGAGGAGCACGGCGGAGACGGCCCTCGACACAGGGCGTGCAAGGTGGGGCTGGGGAAGAGGGAAACTCAGGGAACGACCCGGGGAGGCCTAGGACGAGACCGTGCTGTGATATGTGACGCAGACGCGGGAGC